TTTCCCTGTGTAGTCTTGGTGCCTGTCCTAGATCTCTGGCCTGGAGCTCACAGAGAAGGGTTTGTCTTCCATGCTGGGATTAAAGGTGTGGGCCACCCTTTGAAAATTATAAATTTATAAACTCAAGTTCCATTTGCTTTTGGGATACCATCTTACAAGGACTCCAATTTGCAGTAAGGCTTGTTAAGGAAGGGAATGGCTCAGTTGCCTTTAGCCTAATGGCTATGGGTGGGATAGGACCTCTGTTGGTCTTTTCTGTGTCGAACACACAGATTGCAAGTCCAGCGCCACTTTGAGATCTTTGGCAGCAGTTAACTCTGCAGCTCACACATGATTGAGCCTGTATGATAATGAGTATTCAGAGACGGGTAATGCCTGGGGGGCAGTCACCAACCTAAGGCAGAGCGCCTGTGTGGCCTGGGCAGGCATCTCCATGATGGGTAAGGTGACCTGCTGACGTCCCATGCAACCTAAGTCAGAAGCTCATTTTTTAGTAAAAGGGGGACCTGTAGGCCCTGGCCCCCGTTTTGGGTAACTGTTGTCTTGCTTGCTGACCTTGATCTTGATATCCTCCCTATGCTAATTTCCTGCCGGGTTCCACCCTCCTGAATGCTTAAGGGAATTTCCTTGTCTGTGTATACTGCATAATGGGCATTAACAGCTTAGATGCAAGATTGTAAAACATCTGTAGCCCTCCGGGGTTCTCCCATTGTGCTGTAAGCCTGTATTTAAGACCTCTTCCTTCCTTCAATAAACAGCATTCAGCATTTAAAAAAAAAAAAAAGGTGTGCGCCACCACCGCCGGCCCATTTTTTTTTTTTTTTTGATAAGTATGTCATCAGGCATGTTGATTCACATCTGTAATCCTATAATCTGTGACACTTCAAGGTCAGCCTGGGTTTCATACTGAGATCCTGTCTCAAGAACACCCAAAACTTAGCATGCCTTTAAACCCAGCACTTGGGAGGCAGAGGCAGGTGGATCTCTGTGAGTTCGAGGCCAGCCTTGGCTACAGAGTGAGTTTCAGGACAGGCTCCAAAGCTACAAAGAGAAACCCTGTCTCAAAAAACCAAAAAACAAAACAATACAAAAAACAAAAACAAAACAAAACAAACAAAAAACAAAAACAAAAAAGAATACCCAAAACTCAAAACAACATATATATCATTAATTTCTAAAAGCTCACATATATCTGCATAAAAATGATCTTATGTAACCCTGTATAATGGTAATTTTTCATGATTACATTCAGAGTTGAGGTGTAGCTTTGCATGCTTGAGGTCTTAGGTTGAATCCCCAGCACCAGAGCAGGGTATGGTGGCTTCTCAGTACCTCTACAAAGATCAGTGTGTCAGTCTTTGAGGTTATGGAAACATTGAGAAGTGAGCCCTAAGGGATGTGTGTTAGGCTACTTTCTTTTCCTCCAGTCAGGTTTCTCTGTGTAGCCCGGATGTCCTGGAACTCTCTCTGGAGACCAGGCTGTTCTTGAACTCAGAGATCTTTTTGTCATTGCCTCCTGAGAGCTTCGATTAAAGGCATGCATCATTATGCCCTGGCAACTAAATATGCATTCTTGAACTCTTTTTTAAAATTATTATTATTATTATTATTATTATTATTTTGGTTTTTCGAGACAGAGTTTCTTTGTGTAGCTTTGTGCCTTTTCTGGATCTCGCTCTGTAGACCAGGCTGGCCTCGAACTCACAAAGATCTGTATGGATGGTGGAGGTGGGGTGCACATGCGCACCAGTGGAGATCAGAGGAAAATTTAATGGAGTCACTTTCTCCTGCCAACTTTATGTGGGTTTGAGGTTTGAACTCAGGCTGTCAATCTTTCAACCACCAGGTAGCAAGTACCTTTACCTGTTGCAATATCTCACCAGCCAGTCATTTACATTCTTTTTTAAAAAGATTTGTTTCTAACTGGGCATGGTGTTGCACACCTTTAATCCCAGAACTCAGGAGGCAGAGGCAGGCAGATCTCTGAGTTTGAGGCCAGCCTGGTCTACAGAGTGAGTTTCAGGACAGCCAGGGCTACACAGAGAAACCCTATCTCTCTTTTTTTTTTTCCCCAGAGCTGAGGACAGAACCCAGGGCCTTGCGCTTGCTAGGCCCTCTACCACTGAGCTAAATCCCCAATCCCGGAGAAACCCTATCTCAAAACACAACAACAAGATTTATTTTTAGGTCATGTGTATAAGTGCTTTGCCTGCATGCATTGCCTGTGGAGGCCAGAAGAGGGCATCAAGTTTCTTGAAACTGGATTTACAGCTGGTTGTTAGCAGCCATGCGGGTGCTGAGAATTGCTTGTGGATCCTCAGCAGCCAGTGCTTTGAACAGCTGAGCCATCTCTCCAGCCCTCTACACTCTTAATATAGGCAAATAACGTGGTGGTGCTTCACTTCCTGAAGTCAGCTATTATAAGTAGTTAATTTGACAAATAAAAATTACAGGATACCCTAGCTGAGCTTCCATTTCGGATGAACAATGATGAATTACTTAAAAAGTATACCCCCCAATAGTTCCTGGACACACTAATACTAAAACACAACTCCCCATTCATCTGAAATTCATACTTAACTGAATGAGTGCCTTTTATTCTCCCTGGCAACCCTATTTATAGAAAAGGGGATAATCCAGAGAAGCTGAGGGTCTGGCTCACTTGCCTAGCATTCACAAAGTCCTAGATTCAGTCTCCAGATTTGCCAAAAAGAGGTAATAAAATCTGTCCAGAATAGCAACGGCCTATAAAGACTAGGTGGTCCAATATCTTTGCTCCAGTTGGTCAATGAACAGTTAGGGAACTTTCCAGCAAAGCCCTAGAATTGAGCTAGCTTATGACCAGATCCTGAACTATTTTTAGGCTGAGGTTTTTCCAGGGACTGGGGGGAAAGGGAGTCATATTTAAAATAGCGGATTGGAGTATGTACTTAAGAGGGGGAGAAGAGGGTGTGCCTTACATATTGACAGAGTAAAGGCCACCTCAGACACATCATTACTAGGCCTCTCTCCCCTACCCTAAGCAAATAAGGCAGGAAGGAATGATGGCTTATTAATTCAAAGCAGCCAGAGGGTACTTTTTTAATGTGTAGTTGAGTATGCCAGGCAAAGGAACTGAGATGGGAAATAACCTTGCAATGAATAAATAAAACTTTATTGTTGTTTTGAGACAGGGTCTCCTGTAGCCCAGGCTGACCTTGAACTCCTGATTATCCTACTGCTACTTCCCAAGTCCTTGGATTACATCCATGCACCACTGTATGCATAGGATAAAACCTTTTTTTTTTTGGTTTTTGAGACAGGGTTTCTCTGTGTAGCCTTGGCTGTCCTGGTACTCACTCTGTAGACCAGACTTGGCCTCAAACTCATAGAGATACAGCTGGCTCTGCCTCCCAAGTGCTGGGACTTGAAAAACAAAACAAAAACAAAAACAAAACAAACAAACAAAAATTACTATTTTCCTATTTAAAGGAGTATATTCCATTAGAGTTCTTCTTTTTGGATTTGGTGAGTTTTTAGTAAGTTTAGAAGGTTATAATATGGACTTTCAAAAGTAAAGTAAAAGGGCATAATTTTGTAAAAGGGCATAATTTTGCTTGATAGATGAACCTCTTCTATGTTCATCCCATCTTCATCTTAAGAATTTCTTTCGTTCATTTTTCATCAATGGTTGTATTCAACCACTCTTGTGCTGTCTCTGGTCCTGAGGATGTAATTCCTGCTAAATCGAAAGGGAAAACCGACACCTGCCTATTTCAGGAGTTAATTACCACTAATGACAGAGGATAGTTTCTTGGAAAAGCACTACATTGAAAAGGGGACTTTCAACTGTACCTGGTAAAATTCCAGTGCACTTACCCAGTTTCCTCACTGAGGTCAACTTGGGGGCTCCTGCACTACTGGAAGGCGGCTACTTCTGGCCCATACTGTGGCTGCGGGCTAACAGCTGTGCATCCTCAGGGCTCCACCCTCAAGACCTTCGGCCTTACCACTATGAAATAAGATCCAGCTATGTTCCTATAATGTTTCTTGTGGCTGGCAAATGCATCTGGAACCAATGGACAGAGGACTTTCTCAATTTAATTTTGGCAATTTTCTTTGCACTTTCTTCTGTGGGGGCGTTGTTAGTGCTAAAGGCTTGAACTCAGGGCTTGAAGCATGCTAAAAGGAGGTGCTCTACCACAGAGCGACAGGCTCAGTCCCTTCTTTTAACCCCTTTCTCTTTTCACCTCGGTATACCAAGTGTCCTATCAGATTGAACAATTCGGCCTTTTTTTTTTTTTTTTTTTAACCGATGGGCTGGGGGTGGGGCGGGTGAATTAAGAGAACTGAATTGGGGACTAGAAGGGGAGCGATGAATTTTTGGAGGGGGGGGAGGTCAGGCGCACTGACCAAAACAGACAACCCTCTAGACGTTAGGTTCCATCCCGGGTTCCGGCATTTGGACAGGGACTGGGCGCCCCAGGAGGCAGCGAGCAGCGCGGGGCGAGCCGCTGCCCCTCTGGCAGGGGGGGAGGAGGGGGGGAGCCCGCCGCAGCCCGGCTGCCACTCTGATTATCACGCGTGTCCAACTTCACAGAGCGCGGCGCGCCGGGGTGTCCCCGGGGCCGCCGTCCAGCGCCAACCAACCGGCGGGTCGCCGTCGCCGGGCAGCCGTCCGCGGGGGGAGGGGCGGCCGGCGCCCGCGTTCTCCGGCCCGGCACCGCGGAAGCGCGACCGCGGCTGGGGAGGGGGGGGTTGGAGTGGGGGGGGGGGGGAAGATCAGCTGCTGGAGGAGGCGGAGAAGGCGGAGCCTAGGGGGGAAGGGGAGGGAGGGAGGGAGGGACGCGACCGTGAGGAAGCCGCGATCGCCGCCGCCGCCGCCGCCGCCCGTCTGCACACCTCGCTCCGTCTGCCATGGCTGGCTAAAGGAGGCTCGGGCTGGCCGCGCGCGCGCGCGGGGAGGGCCGGGAGGGGAGCGGCGGCCGGGCGTGCGGCCGAGGGAGGGGCGGCGGCGGCGGCGGCGGCGCGAGCAGCAGCGGCGGCGGCGGCGGCGGCGGCGGCGGTTCCAGCATGAAGAGGAGAGCTGGCCTGGGGGGCAGCGTGAGGTCAGTGGTGGGCTTCTTGTCCCAGCGGGGCTTGCATGGGGACCCCCTGCTCACTCAGGACTTTCAGAGGAGACGCCTGCGGGGCTGCAGAAACCTCTACAAGAAGGACCTGCTCGGCCACTTCGGCTGTGTCAATGCCATTGAATTCTCCAACAATGGAGGCCAGTGGCTGGTCTCAGGTAAATCAACCCCCCTTCCTTCTCCTCCCCGCGCCTCCCGGCCCCGCTTCCAGCTGCCCCTTGCCCCGTCCCCGCCAACCCTCCTGCTGCCCCCCGGAGTCCCCACCCCCGCCCTGCTCAACCCCTCTCCAGCGGGGGGAAGATTTGGTGTGAAATTAATACCATTGCAGGGGGAGGGAGGGAGGGAGGGAGGGGGAGAGAAGGAAGGAGGGGGAGAGAAGGAAGGAGGGGGAAGGAGAGGATGTCTTGTATAAAAAAAAAAAAAAAACCTAAAATGGTTGACAGGTCCTTAACGCGCTTTATCCCAAGTGCCAAGTGGTCCCTCCAGACGCCTGCCCCACCAGTGCGGGTCGGGGAGGGGGGCGAGGTTACGGCTTGACTTAAGGTGGATGGCAAACTCTTCCTCTGCGTAGTGTAAAAGGTGCGGGGGGCACCGGGGTGTGTGTGTGTGTGGGGGGGGAAGGGATGGCATGGCCGTGGGGAGAGGCCGAGGCGCGCCGGAGGCCAAGGGAAGCTCGAGCCCCGGTCCTCGGTGTCTCGGGAATAAAAAAAAAAAAAAAAAAAGGGGGGGGGGGACCTCGGAGCCTGAGGCCGGCGGTGACAGGGAGGGACACGGAGGGGCCAGCGGGGTCGGGGCGGGTGGTGACGGGCAGCTGAGAGGCGTCCCCCCTCCCCCGGGCTCTCTTAGGGCCCAGTCCCCTCTCCCTTCTGGCAGTGGTTAGCCTCTTCCGCGTCTTGTTTTTATTATGGTTTCCGAGAGTGCCGAGGGCTCTGGAGACGGAGGGACACACCAGCCTGAACTTGGAGGTGCTGCTGCTCCAGGGGCCGGGGTTCGGGACGACCCCCCCGAGGGGCTGGCTGGCGGGAGGCGGGCCCCAGCACCCCCCCCCCCCCCATTCAACCCGAGGCTCCTGGGGGCAGGACTGCTCGCCCCCCCCCCCCGTTCCCTCCCCCGGTTTATCTAGGCCTACTTGCCTCCAGGGTCCCACCACCCCCCCTCCTCCCGCTGGGGTGGGGAAAGTGGTGCAATCGAGGCCGGGGCTCCGGCCGGGCGATGTAGGCCTTGCTCTCCCGGGGCTCCTAGCGACAGGCAGCTGAATCGATAGCCTATTGCTCCCGGGGAGGCCCGGGCCGAGCGGCAGCGGCGGCGCCTGCGTACGCCGTGGTCGGGGGTCGCCGGCCGTGGTCGGGGTCGCCGCCCGCTCCTCCCCTGGGGTCGCGGCCCCGAGCGAGCGAGCGAGGGCGGGCGGGCGGGTGGGGCTGGGCTCTCGCCGGGGAAGGGGCGGCTCCCAGAAACCCGACTGCGCTGCGAAGGGCCTAGACCAGCTCGGGCGTTCCCGCTCGCCGCCTTCCTCCGCTCTTTTTCCTACCCTGGGAGGGTAGAAGCGGGGAGCCCGGCACTAGACGTGGCGCTTCACTTCACCCAGGTGGCTCCCCGAAGGGCTTTCTAATTCGCGTCAGTGGGCCAGCTCTCCAGAAACTTGAGCGTTTAAGGCAAAGCATCTGTCTTTGCAAGTAACCGGCGGAAGTGACACCATGAGTCTGGTCCCGTGTGTGGGTAGCAGAGATAAGAGGTCTGTGATTATTTCACGATAAACCAGGGGTTTCTCCAGAACTGACCCCATCTTTTCACACTAGATCATATTCTCCTTGCATAGAGTTTGGACCCTAGATGACACCCCACTCCACCCCCAAGAAACCTGATACACCACTTCAAAGCAGACCCATCATTAAAAAAAAACTTCCTTCCACACACCGCGGCGTAGAATTTTATCTAATAAGTTTCAAGTACAAAAATGGAGAAAGACCCCTTCTTTAAAGACTGTTTCTGTGTTCGCAATACAACTCTCTCCTGAGACTAATGCTTTACAGCAGAGAGGCTTCCAGACATTCCAGTTTACCTATGGAATGAGGGACTCGGAGGATACTCTTAGAATGAGCTAATTAATCATAACCGATCACACATAGCCCCAGCTTAACTCACTTTAGATATAAACTTGAAATATAATATACATACCATAAAGTTATCCCAGTCAAAGTTAATGCATTTTACACCTTTTTGTTTTGTTTTTCGAGACAGGGTTTCTCTGTGTAACAGCCCTGGCTGCTCTGGAACTCAATCAGTAAACCAGGTTGGCTTTAAACTCAGCGATCTGCTTGCCTCTGCCTCCTGAGGGCTGGGATTAAAGACGAGCTCCATCACTGTCCTGTGCATTTTACACTTAATCCTAGCCAAATGGCAGAGAAGTAGAGAAGTAATATTTACTACATTTTTAAAAGCACCAGAAGGGCCACGGAGCTGTATATACTCCCAGCATTATTTTGTGAGCCTTACCTTGAGGATCTTTTGTTGTTGTGTTGGAGACAGGGTCTTGCTAGGTCGCCCATGCCTTTCTCTGTATCCTCTATATTGTAGAGATAACCCCATTATTTCTAGTCTTGGCTGCTTCGTTTCTTTTTAATTTTTGCTTGAGAGTGGAGTCTGTATAGTTCAGGAGGGTCTGAACTCCGTATGCCGCTGAGGATGGCATTGAACTCCTAACCCTTTTACCTCCTAGGTGCTGAGTTTATATTGCTTTATTCCTTTTTCTATTTTTAGGAGCCAGGGCCTCACACCTCTCCCAGGCTATTGTGGAACTCTGATTGAAGTTCTTGCGGGCCCCAGGGACCTCAGCCTCCGGAGTGCTAGGGTTGTAGGTGTGAGCTGTGGTGCCAGGCTCTTACCTTCACTTTATACTGTAGAGAAGGACTGGTTGCATAGGGGCAGGCCCTGGTTTTAGGTATTTGTTTCCTTTTCTAGTCCTGAGTTCATCCCTCTCCATCAGTCAGGACTTCCTGGGTTCCAGCCGGCCTGCCCTCTCCCAACACTCCTTCTATCCCTGTTCTTCCTGGTGTGTGTGTGTGTGTGTGTGTGTGTGTTAATCTACTCCTGCCCTTGCTCATAGTCCTTCCAGCATTCAGTTCTATTGGCCCTTCCAGTTTGACTCAGGTATTTTATTCCCAGGACACAAGTTTTTGTTAAAAGCAATTCACCTTCCGTTATTTGTACACAAGCTTGTGTTTTAACACAGAGTTCTTCCTGCTTGCTTTTGACATGGAAGCCCCTCGGGGATGCATAATACACCGTCACTTGTTAAAGCTAATTAAAAAATATGTTTTCCCTTGAGAAGTCCTTCAGTGATCTTCTCAAGTTTAAAACTATTTGAAGTGTTATATTTACATGCTTTTTTTTTTTTCCCATTGGTTTGTTGAGACAGGGTCACATAGCCCCGGCTATGGAACTTGGTGTGTAGCTGAGGATGACTAGGGAACTCCTTGATCCCGGCTTCCCCCTCACAGGTGCTGAGATTCCAGGTGTGAGAATCCCTCCCCTTTGTAAATCCCCCCCACCCATCCCTGTCCCTTATTAACAATTATCAACTGAGGGGGTGATCACGTACTAGTGTGAGGCTGGTGCATCTATTCCCAGTAAGTCACAATAACATTCACAATAGTATAGTGGGATGTCAGACTCTAGGGTGGTAATTAGAGTTCTTCTCTGCATTTTGTGGTTTTTGTGTCTTGTTTGGTGATATCGCTATCAGATTTTCTCTAGTTAATTGTTTTCATTTGCTAATAGTTTGGGCAGACCCATTTTTTCATAACTAATACACAGGATTTGATAGAATTAAGACGTAGGACAAATATATTTGTGTGATTCCTGTGGCCATATAAAGTATTATTGTTTAAGAATACATCCTGTTCTAACAGCTGTCTTCCAGGGCACAATGAGGCTTGCATATAGTAAATGTAATGGAGAGGAACTCGGGACCGAAAAAAGGTGTTCTGCTATGACAGCAAGGGAGAGAATAGTTGATGCTTTGAATCATTTGACACTTTGTTTTTTATTTTTAAAATATTTATTTGTCTTATGTATATAGTCGGTTTGTCTGCATATGTCTATGTACGGTGCCCTTGGAGCTCCTTGGATTGGGCTTACTACTGGTTGTGAGCCAGCCACCATGTGGTACTAGGAATTGAACCCCAGTCCCCTGGAAGAGCAGCCAGCACTTTTCATCGATGAGGCATCTCTCCAGCCTTAGACACTTTGAAGTTGGGAAAACTGGCAGTGGTGACACACACTTGAAATGCCATCCACTTGGGAGGTTAAAGCGGAAAACTAGAAGTGGCCAGTGCAGGTGTAATTTAGCAAGAGCCTGTATTTTAAAAATGCATAGTTGTATGTCCATCTACAGAGTGCTTGTTCAAGGCTCTCTGTACAGTTCTCCCACTCTGGGACACACACACATACTCCTTGAACTTCTGATCCTCCCCTCTCCACCTCCCCAGTGCTAGGATGGTAGGGGTGTGCTGCGACCATGCTGGTTTCAAGGAAAATTAGAATATCTCCATCAAAAAAGTTACTTTTATTATTTTTATCATTGACAAAAAAAAAAAAAACCCCACATGAAAACAAAACTGGTATCACTATGATACCTACCGTGGAAGCATTGTGGTGTGTGGCATGACAGGTAATTAAAATCGTTGCTAGGCTACTGAAACCTGTGACCCTAGTTAGGTTACTAAGCTTCTCTCTGTTGTTTCCCTGGTCTGTACAATGGGACGACTGTACAATGGCCTTCCTGAAGGGCTGTTGTGAGACTTGCAGGAAGCAAAGTGTATGTTGGGTGCAAACATCTCATAATAAAAACTGTTGATTTTCTTCACTTTCTGGTGCTTGCATGGTGTCGCTCCTAGCCACCAATTTGCTCTAACACTGTTGGTAGTAGACCTGTGCAAGTTGGGCAGACAGTATGGTTTTGCGACTTTTTTGTTGCCATGCTGAGGACCGAACTCAAGTTCTGGGTATTCGATGCAAGTGCTCTACCACTGAGCTATATTCTTAGCCTTTAGTGGATTTTGTTTTGTTTTGTTTTGTTTATTTGAGACAGGGTCTCACCATGTAGCCTTGACTGGCCTTGAACTCATTGTTTAGACCAGGCTGCCCTTTGACTCAGGAT